TTTCCGACCGGGTTAATTCGGACAAAAATAAACCCGAGTACCGGTTCATGTTCATATCATCTTTTACTTTCATTGATTCAATAGTTATTCGATAAACTATTGAATCAATAAAGTTAAAAGATGATCATCATATGAAACGTTGAATAAGTACGTACGTACTATTTATTCTCCCGTTTTACTAATTGACGACCGGAGACTATTCCCTGCTGAGTTTAAAATTAAGTTATTCAAACATAACACAAAATCCCATAAAAAACAATTAGTAAAACAGGAATAAATAGTACAAGCCTTTAAAAGAATTGGAATTGATTTGGTAGGACTTCTACTTATAACTCAGTTATCATACGACACATCCCAATGCCTTGAGTTCTACAGAATCTCTATTTCCAAAGGAAGATGAGACCGAATAAGTTATAACGTTAATACGTAATTGAGCTTTGATCGCGCATTATATGTCATTAATCAAAGAAGTTTTGTAGGTTTTGTTATGTTTGGCATTCGCTTTCTAATAGTGCTTCTCCTATGAAATGACCCATTTATGTTTGATTCGGATGTGCTCTTTAGCACAACTTGAATTATTCTACATAACTTACAATATATTTCTCTAATCAACAATTATCAATTACTTCTTTTGACAATCTGCATGCTCTTAATAGAGTATATAGATAGTCTGAACTGGGCTAGGTTTAAATTACGTTTATAAGTAAATGTGCTGATCGTAAACAAGGATGATCAAAATTGCGTATACCATAACGATAAATAATGTTCCAAAATCGATAAATTTGATATGTATTACGATACTCTTTTTTTTTTTTTTTAATAAAATACCTTTCGAAATGGATCCATTTAAATTTAACGAGAAGCAAATCAAAGTTATTAAAGCACTTAGTGGAACTTTAATAGCAGAATTGGATGATTTAGAGACAGAAGCTCTTCTAAAAACAAAAGCTACTGTAATAAAAAAACATCCATCTAAAGTTATCGAATTTTCTAAATTTGATTTATCTGACAACAAAAAATTTATAGAAATTTTAACCGATATACTTGTAGAAAGTTTATCAGAAGATAAATTAGTTAAAATTAATGTGCTTCTTAATCTTTTTACGAACAGTTCAACTTCCTTATTATTAACAGGTTACTTTAAACCATTTTATGAACTTGATAGAAAACAACGTGAAGTTGTTTTACAAAAATGGACTAAAAGCTCTAAATTTTATAGAAATTTATTTGCAATTTTATCTACTTTGATCAATGCTACTTATTGGACACATTTTGATAATTATTTTGAAACTATCGGGTATCCTGGTCCTGATCCTGAAGCTAATGGTGAAAAATTTACTTCGAAAATCAATTTATTTCCTACTTACGAGTTTATTAATGTTCCACCTGAAGGATTGGTGTTACATTTTGATGTAGTGGT